TTACCGCGTGTTTGCGTTTTAGTCACCTATTGTGACTATTTCACAATTAGTTCAATATTTATGGCCTAATTTTGTTATTTTACCTATTATAATTGTTAGTATATTTCATGTTGAAAAATTTACACATAAGTCATCGATAATTTGTATGTTTTTATGTTTTGGTCATCATTTTAAGGGAAAATCACGCTTATGTCCCTATATTTCTGCCATATTTTTGCATTATGGTCACCATGTATTTTTTGTGTGTTGTTTATTGCGATTATGACCCCATGCTTTGCTTTATTTTAATTTGGTCAATGATTTATGCATTTTATATATCTAATTAACTATTGACTTTCATTTTTATTGCATATTAACCACTAACTTTTATTTTATTACACTCTAACCACTGTTATTTATTTATTTATTTATTTATTTATTGTTTCTAATATTCGATTATATGATCTTAAGGTGACCCGATCCGGGGTATGACCCGTATTATTACGGTCTAGACTATATTAACATCTAACTTTCCTAACTTCTAACCGCTAACCACTAACCGCTAATTTTTATTTATTTATTTACTTATTTCTTTATTTTATGTTCGAAATATCGTACGAACTTGCGACCACCAGCCTCGGGGTACGACTTGCATTATTTAAGGTCCGTATTAAATATTAAAAATTAATGCTAACATTTTATTTTTGTTATTTAATTTTATGCACATTTAAATTTCTACTCTATACTTTTTATTTATTTAATTTCATTACTTTAATTTACTATTTTTATTATCTATTTTTACCCTTCATTTTTTGTACTTTAATTTTAGTCATTTTATATATTTTAATTGCCTTAATATTTGTATCCTTTTAATTTAGTCATTGATGGATTCCTATTTTTTAGATTTAGTCCATAATCTCTTAATTATTCGATTAGTATTTAGTCATTAAATTAAGAGATTTCTTAATTTGGTTCTCGTTTTTGCTCGAGGTTCCACTTTAATTATTCGAATTGCAATATTGATTAAAATTAATTTAAAGTAATGTTAGAACCTCTACTTTAGTTAGATTTCAATCTAGTCCTTTTAATTTAGGGAATAATTTGAGTTAACCCTCTCCTAAATGCTCAAGGGACCATCTCAATCATTCGATTCAATAAATAGTTAAAATCAAGTAGGATTAATATTAGAGCCTACATTTTTAGATTTATGCCTCTGGGTTCTTTAATTTTTCATAAATTGACATTGTAAGCTAGAGAAAACCTTAATATGTCCTTAGTTTAATTAGGATTAATAAAAATATGTTTGATTGCATTCTATTTTAAAATCTAAGGTAATGTTCACTTATTAGGGATTCAATAGTATATATCTCTCAAAAGTATGCTTTGGGGGTGACTACTGGTGATTCCCGAAATAGGTCGAGATCCTTTTGAAAACTGCATCATGATTTCTAAAATATTAAGGCAATGTTCGATTATTAGGCACAGTAGCTGATCTTCACATTTATGCTAGGGGGCAAATGCTATCGACCTTAGTAAACGAATACCCTTTTCAACTTTGCATCTGTAATTAAATAAAGTTCAAACTCAAAATTTACAATTCTAAATATAGGGTAATCAACTAGGTACCAATTTTTGAGCGCTGGTTGGGGTGCTAATCCTTCCCAATGCGTAACCGACTACTGAACCTGATTTTTGGATTTTCACATACCTTAAAACTTGGTCTTTTGAAAAAAAAATTATTTTATTAAAATTACCCGATTTTTATGGTGTCCCAATCGTACCTTAAATGATTGGTGGCGACTCCTCACATTTCAAAATCTTTTCAAAGAAAAACCCCCAAGTCGGTACAAGTTTTTTCCCCGCCCGAACGAAAAACAATGTCGACAGATGTCTATCAAGATGTTTAAAAATCAATAATCAAATAAATAAAAATCTTTAAAATAAATATTATCTTATATTAATAAAAAAATATTAATTTACAAATCAAAATTTGCTTACTAAAATTTATATGAGCAGGTCTCCAATACCATAACAGCTGCCACCAAATATATAGTATATCATAAATGCAAATATAAAAAATAAAAGTCAAACGAGGTTTGGTTTCTTTTAAAATGATTCCTCAAAGCATTTATTTCCCATAAATGTTTTTCTCATTATTTTATTCTCCATTATCTTATATTTATCCTCATAAATGAAGTATGATTTGATATTAAAATTAGGATTCGTCAGTCAAAATATAAATTATATAAAAAAACAAACCTAATTAAATATTTTCTTATCAACAAAACTAATATATTATTTAATAATTTTTATAATTTTAATATATTTTTAAATAATTTATAAAATTTTAATATATTTTTAAATAATATATAAAATTTTAAAGATTCTTAAATATTTTTAAAAGAAATATTTAAGATTTTGAAAAATTCACCGTGACATCACCTGTTGCGACACACGACACAAATTATTAAAATTAATTGTTAATATTAATTAAAGAATCGTATTATTTTTTTAGATTTTTTTTAAAATTTAAAAAAATTAAATTAATTTCATTTCAAAAAATCGAGTTTTTTACAAACTCGAACTTCCGATTTTTTTTAAATTTTTTTATTTAACTATAAATCGAGAAGTTATACTAACTTTCTTTAACAATTCCTACCTAAAAGAGGAGAAAGAGAATTTTATTCCTAATTAGGGCCGTAAACGAGCTGAGTTGAGCTCGACTCGACTCAAAAATTCTGAAATGGAACTCGACTCAGTTTGAAAACTCGTGAGCAAAAAAATTTCAAGCTCGATTCGAATTCGAAATCATGAATTGAAGCTTGAAAAAAGCTCAAAATAAAAGAGATCTTAAACTTAATCTGGTTAAAACTCAAACTCGAACATGAATCTTAAGTACATTTATACTATATATTTTTTTAAAATCAACATATAAATGTTAATATTATTAATAATTTGTTTTTAAAAAGATAAAATTTAATATTTTATTTTTTGAGTAGCTCGTGAGTTTTTCGAGCAGAGTATAAAGTAACTCGTTTCAGGTTGTTAAAAATTCTAGTCGAGCTTATACTCAAGTCAAGTTTTTATTGAGCTTAGACCGAGTCGATCTCGAGTAACTTTTAATCTGGCTCGTCTCATTTATAGTTCTATTCCTAATGGATATCGAACTCACAACTTAAGAAAAATAAGAGATATTAACTGAAAGTTTGTAACTATCTATTCTAAAGACGGATGACAAAGGTTAAACTAATTAGATGATTAGTCTAACCGTTAAAAACAAGCTTAGTGTCCTAGACTTTGTCAAAAAGTTAACTTAATGGAACCATGAATCATATTTGATTATTGGTTTAATCGAAATTATACATAAAAAAGTATCATTAAATTATACTATTTTAAATTATTCAAATTAATCGAAATAACTTGAATATTATATTTTAAATAACTTGTTTTAACATACACTATATATTTAAGGTAATTGAAATGACCATTCAGCTCAGTTGGTAAAACACAAGGTTCTTAATCTTGAGGCCGTGAGATCGAGTCCCACGGAGGGCATTTCATAATTTGGAGGTCTCTTACGGAAGCTGCTCCCAACCTGTGTTGGGAGCAGCCTACTATCTTAACTCCCTCTTACCCTATACATATGAGAAAAAAGGGATAACCATTTTTATATATTTAAGGTAATTAAAAATTATTTAATATAAAATTTAACATTTTATTTCTCAAATAGTGGCGGATTTTGTTTATTCCTAATTGATTGTGAACATCACTTTAATCATTTTATGCATGGTTTGATCAAGACATATAAACAATCCAATCCAATTTCCATTACTAATCCACCAAAATGGTTGTTGCTTAATAATGAGGGTTTTTTATGGGAATATAATCTTTTTAATTTTTTACTAAAATAGTACTCAAATAATATTATTCACCAAAAAGACATTTTTTTAACGTGCTTATGTTGATGGATGGTTTTACTAGGCTCCCTCGTCTATATAGGGTTGTAGGAAAGATAATTTTTTCATATAAGATATTCACATATCATTTTTTGAAGTAGGGTTTTTTATTGGTCTGAAGACGTCGTGCACTCCTAAGGTCTTTTTTATTTGCCTGAAAATGTCATGTAGTCGTGAAGTCTTATTCATTTGTCTAAATACACCATGCAGTCGTGAAGTCTTTATATTTGACTTAAAGATTCGTGAAACACATGACATCTTTAAATTGATATTGTACAATTCACCATAGATTGAAAAATAATCTTTAAGTTAAATTATATTAGGAATTAAAAATTACACTTACATTAACTCAGTCATTTTGCTGGTTTTTCTAACGGTAATGTCACTCGGAATAAAAAATAAAATAAATATAAAATATTAGAGAGACCGTTGAGATGAAGTACCACGTAAGCAAATTCGTATCCTTAAAAACGCACCTTTCTACATTAACGTGTTTTTATTAAAAGAATACTATTTTATTCACAGAATAAGTTAGATACCGTTTTAATAAAAAAATAAAAAAATGTTCCAATAATATTACTTAACTATGAATATAATTTCCTACTAATCACAAAAGTGATTGAATATTTTTATACTAACTATAAATTATTAGATTAAATCACATTCATTATAGGTAAAAAATATTTTATATACACTTTATTATTAAAATTTAACTAAATTGATATTTCACAATTAAATTATATTTTAAATAAAAACTAAGGGAAAACAATTAAAAAAGGCGTATGTTTCTCTTTCGTGTCATTGTTTTCCACGACGCAACAAGAAAGAGAAAGAAAGCACTCCATACTTCACAAGGATTTTGCCTCCTCTTTGGTTTCTTCTTCTTCTTCTTCTTTGGTTTTATGCCGTTCTTTGGATTGTTTCAGTAGCTGAGAATACAAGGGAAAACAAGATGTATAGTCCCAATGAACCCTCCGCTTTTCCTTATGCTTTGTGAATGTATATGTACTTTAATCTCCTCCTTTCTTTCTTGCTTGAGTTGCTTTAGCTTCTGCGAAAACGGCAATGGCCGAGTACATCTGTTTGTTTCACAAGGTACCCTTAAAACTTCACTTCGTTTTACTTTCTGGGTTCTTTTTCTTTGGCGAGTTCGTACCTGGTTTCTTTGCAATGCTTAAAAAAAGACTCAAATTCTTGTCGATTAGCCCTGGATTATGTCGATTGATGCTAAAGCTTATAATTTTGAACAAATTATTTGAGTATTCTTGACTTCCTATTCGAACATTTTCTTTTATTAAGTTCATATATCTGTTTTTTGTAAACAAAATATTTAATGGGTTTGAAGGATAATTTTTATGTTACCTCTTTTGCATGTTTGGATCTGTTTTTTCTCTTCACTTGTTCTTGAGCTTCCTTGTATGCTTAAATTTTGAGTTCTATGTATAATTTTTATCTACCTGTTTAAAATTAAAACCAGCATTGCATTATTTTTCTGTTTTATGACTCTGTTAAAACTACTAATTGGGTTTTAACTTTTATATTTTTCCCACATTTCTTTTCCAGGCACCTTTACCTTTGAACTTTGCTAGTTACATCATTTACAAATATTTCTCAAAATATTTTCTACTGAAAATGTTTGCTTGCATGTCAAAGTTTTAACCTCCTCTTATCATCTCTATAAATTTTGTGATAAATTTGGGTTAAATATGTGCTGTTTTTCTATGCAGGATACTCTAATTATAAAACCTCCCAAGAAATCTCCATTGTTCTTAAGGACAGTAGTTTTATTGTTTGCTATACTGTGTGGTGTTTATGTCTGTACAGCGTGTTTAAAGCAGTTAAGTACTGTTACCAAGGTCCAATTTCAGAACATCCAAGTCATAGAGAATCCAACTCCAGATAGTAACATTATCAAACAAGTTGAAGCTCAAATTCCTACCTTGCACTACCCTAAACCTGAAACTTTTAGCAGGTAAACAAGAATACTTTCTTTTTGAGTTTTTTTTTTAAGTTCAATTGTCTTAGATTTTTCTGTTCATACTTTTTTCCAGGGGTGAATGCACACAAAATCCGGTAACATTCTTTGCCATATTGTCGATGCAGAGATCTGGAAGTGGATGGTTTGAGACTTTACTAAATAGTCATATCAATATAAGCTCAAATGGGGAGATATTCTTTCCAATGGATAGGAGGAAAAACATTTCAACTATTATACTGACTTTAGAAAGAGTTTACAATTTAGATTGGTTCAATAGTGCTTCCAAGAACGAGTGCTCTGCTGCTGTTGGCTTCAAGTGGATGCTGAATCAGGTATACAAATGTACAGTCAATTTTGCTAATACATATATACATTTGTGCTCCTTTGTGCTTTGAGGCCTTTATCTTTTTAACTTTAAAAAAATGTTTGATCAGTTCCCTTTCCGAAAGAAAAAGAATCGGCAAGCCTTTGGCCAGGGACCTCTAATTATCCTTGAATCAAATTATGATGGGATTTCAGGTTTAATATTTTGGAAAAGTTGCTCTGTTCAAATTTGCTTGTTTACTTGTATGTTTATCTGTATGGATCAGCTGAGAAAACTGTACATTTTTTTGACAAGCGAGAAAACTACTTAGTTTTAGATATCTGATTTTTGCGTCTCCAAATTTGTAATAGTGATTAGCCGTGAAAGCAGCCATGCATAAGACACTGAAGATGGTCATTGTCCTTTATGATGGATGGAAATTATTTGAATCCCAGGAGCTGTTTTGTGGTCTATAGCTAACTGCTAGATGTATTTTCATGCAGGGACTGATGGAGCACCATAAAGAAATAGTAGAATACTTTAATCATCGGGGAGTTGCTGTTGTATTTCTCTTCCGAAGACATTTGCTTCGAAGAATGGTTTCTCTGCTTGCGAATTCATATGATCGCTATGCCAAGCTATTAAATGGAACCCACAAGTCTCATGTTCATTCACAAGAAGAGGTATTTGTCCCTATCCCTATCCCACCAGACTTACTCAGCAAGCCCTTGGCTTTTTCATTGTTGGAGAATCTAGAACTTATTTCTAGTCACTTGATTTAGGCGGCTGCTCTTTCAAGATACAAGCCCATAATCAACTCAACATCATTAATAAGTGATTTGAAAGAAGTAGAGATGGATGCTGTCAAGACTATAAAATACTTCAATAGCACCCGTCATATGGTTTTGTACTATGAGGATCTCATCACAAACAATACGGTAAGGACATAACATGTTTTCCTGAAATATTTACGCTATTTCCGAACTTCAACAACTTTTAGCAAACTGTCCTAGACTATGCGTTAGGCATTGCCTTGTTCATAACTTTATGTCATTGTTCAATGCATGTCACAGAAATTAGAAGATGTTCAAGAGTTTCTTGGTCTTCCGAAGATGGAATTGACTAGTCGACAGGTTAAAATTCACAAAGGTCCGTTATCTGATTTCGTGAAAAACTGGGATGATGTGGTAAAGACATTAAATGGGACAGAATACGTTAGTTTCCTCGAAGCTGACTACTAAGATCTACTCCATTGCTAACAAATTGAAGGTTATGGATACCATCTCCTGTTGATTTTCCCGTTTTATCGAAAGCTTACTGCACATATACCCAAGTCGAAAATTTTTGCTGCTGTAAAATGCATGATGATGATCACCATGCTTGCAACACGTAGGTGATCTATACCACAGTGAACCATGTACCTTTTTTGTTCAAATTTTATTGATATTATAGACGGCATGTATATGTCAGGTAATGAAAAATTGGGTGAATCACTCGTTCATCCTTATATAGTTGCTTCATGACTTTATTTCCATCAACCTTTTGCCTTTTTGGTTCTCTCTTGCCGGGGGCAGGTGGGACAGTAGCCCCTGAAAACTTAAAATTATCATATATTTTATATTTTTTTTATATATTTGTTATTGAAAATAAATTTTTGCCTTTCTGAAATTTTATATATATGTTCCATCTTAATATTTTAGAGATTCGTGTTTTAATATAAAATTCTGTGTCCGTCCCTGTTCTTTTCGGAGCTTCAGACAAAGTCCTTAGAAGCTGCCTTTGAGGTATACTGAAAAACAAAGATTTGATCGAGACGGGTTAGCCCAGTAAAAACGTTTATGAAGCAACTTTTTCAAAATTTCATAGGCTTTTTGGGTGTATCAATTCAATGATTCTTTAATACACTCGTCAATAGTTTGTCATCAAAGTTATTTCTTTTTTAAAATAATATTATAAATATATTTTATAATTTTAGATGATATTTGATTTATTAAATAATGTTATAAATCTTATTTATACATGTGAAAAATATGAATAATTATATATGCATAACTTATATGATTAGAGAAATTTATTTAAATTGAAACTAATTCATTCTATAATATTAAAGATAATTACATTTAAATTTGAATAAAGAATTCGACTAAAAAAATTCAAATAAAATTTAAATGAAATAAATAAAATTCTCCAACTTTATAAACTCAATTTTTTACTCCATTCGATAAATGATTACTCATGTTGTAGCTCTAAAAGCACAAATAGTCAACGGCATATGTACCCTTGAAATGTTTTTAAAAGTAATTAATTATTCTTATTTTATTAAAATAAAATATTAATTATCTGTATTATGATTAATATTACTAGATTTTATCATACTCATGGTTTGAAATATGTTTTATTTTTGTAAAATATATTTTTTAAAATTGTTTAATACTTAGTTATAGATGTAATGATATAATATTTGTATATATATTTGTTGGTCTCATGTTTAAATATTCAAGTTCTTATTTTTAATTAATTATTTAAAGATTATATAAAATTATTAAAAGAAAAAAAAGTTATAATAATATTAAATATCATTTAAAAATGAATTGTCATCATTTTTTTAGCTTAATTGATATTCAATTATCTTGTGACACCAACTTACCCAAAACTACTATAATGAGCATATATTAATTATCTTTATTTTCATTAAAACTAACTTCTAACACCAAAAACTATTTGAGGATTATATTGGTAATTTAATTATCTTGAGGATAATTGGGTAAATTTTTAAAAGTTATGGGATTATTTTGAATTTTTAGATTAAGAATTAATTCTAAGAAATTGAGTTTATGAAAGATTTAAGACTAACTGAAACAAAGAAATTGTGTGTATCTAAAGTGAAAATAAGGGATGAGTTGGACTCTTTAGTGAATAATTTATCTAAAAAAGTATGGAAGCTTGTGCAAACAAGTCATTATAGTCGTTGAATTTTGATGGAGTTGCCATATTTAATTTGGACAGTTTGATATATTAGATTTGAGTAAATTATATTTTCTGAATAGCTTATGTGGTTATAAGATAATATTTGTTCAGATCTTTTTTAACCTCTTGATAATGCGCACACACTCTACAAATGTAACTACTCGAACCTAAAATTTCTAAGAAAAGTAAAATTTCCTTGTACCACTTCGGTCACTTGGTAGGTTCTTTAAGTTAATTATTTTAAATAAGAAATAAGAGGTTTTATGTTCTAATTAAAAGAGGAAATGGGTAAACAAAAAGGTCTTCCTCTTCCCCACTTGGACGGTAAGAGAGATAAAGGTAAGATCTCTCGTTTCTCTTCAATTTTTTCTTTCATTCTAGTTGGAATTTAGGTTGCCTCGTCGATCCTCCCTCCCTCCCTCCGTCGATTCTCGGTGACGGCGACCCTTCCTTAATGTCGTGGGTGCCCGAAGATAACTCAAGCGTCTCAGGTAAGGGAGGAATCAAAGCGTTTTTGTGTTTTTATTTATTTTATGCATGCATTCGAAAGAAAAATAGAAAAGAGAATTACCTTGAAACATTTTTTTCTTTTTTGTATTGATTTGAACTCCGTGAATGTTACAATCTGAGAGGGGATTTTATATAACCCCACCCCCTTACAAATGGTAAGAAAACTTTATGATTTTTCTTTAGATTTTGTTTTCTTTTTGGTGATTGGATGTTTTGATCGAGGGGGGAGCACGATGACAGTGACGTGGGTGGCAGAGGGGTAAAAAATATTTTACCCTAAGGATCGTTTTGGTCGTTTCTGGTGACCGGCGTAACTCGATGTGACGGTGGAAGACCTCAAGAACATGAGAGGGCACAGGCGCGTGTAGGAGCATATGGCAGTCGAATGGGCTCGCGTGGGCACGTGGCGACGGATGCTTGAGATAAAACCCTAGATCTTCATTAATTTGGACTGTTGGTGTCACACCCCCGATCCGTACCTGACCCGAATACGAATCTGAGGTGTAGCATTGACTTTTCAACTCTTTGACTCTTTGAAAATTTGATTAAACTTTTTTATAGTGGTGAAGCCCTCATTAATACTAGTTAAAATAAAAAAAATATTAGACAATGAAAAAATATTTAATATATTTACATAAACCTTAATTAGTATAGTTACAAAACAAATCATACCATTTGCGATTTAAATATTTGTAGTACATGCCAACAAAATTTCAAAATAACAAAATCACGTACTGTTCAAATCATTATGATCTGATCTTCTTCAAAGGAATGTTGTCCTGACCTAGCTTTACTCTGCTAACTTCTCTGAGCCTACATGTGAAAACACTCACACGCTAAGTCTTTGACTTAGTGAGGCATAAATGAGCATAATAAAACATTAAAATATTTGCTTAAATATTTCAGGACAAACATTGAATACAAAAAACAAGATACATTTCATAAAAATAACATTTACAGTTATGCACTGTTCAATTCATATTAACTTGTTTAAATAGCCCAATGTATATCACTGAGAACTCAAGGTATGTGAGTACTTTTAGGTTGTGCACTATAATTGCAGTCGAAACTACAACATAGAATTTACACTGAAGTGCCATGTAGATTATGCACCGAAGTGCCACATAGATTTGTAACACCCCAACCCGTATCCGACCCGGATACGAATCCGAGGTGTCACATTGACCTTTTAAAACATGTACTTGTATAAAATAGTGAGTAATTTAAAACTTTTATAACATATAAATGACTAATTTACATAAAAGACATTTTCATTATTACAAAACCAATCAGAGCATGCATATTTCACTTATTTATTTACATATAACTATTCAAAACATTTATAAAACTGTTCATAGCTTAAACAATATATTCTTTTGAAAACATGCCAACTAGAACTTCATATACTAAAATACATATTATTCACATCTTTTTCTGATCTGACCTTTAGTAAGGAGAACTGACATGTCTTGCTCCACATTGCTCTTTACTCTTCTCGAAACCTACGTGTAAATCACTTACACGCTAAGTCAAAGACTTAGTGAGGCAATAAACATATAAGGTAAACGGTAACTAATAATCATACATAAACAATTACTACTATCATTTTATACAACTCATACTTTTACATGTAGCAAATATATATACATACATATATGTCATTATCATTCATATCTCTTATCTCATGTTCCTATGATCTCTTATGTCCATATCATATATCTTATAAACTTATTATTATATCATCATTTCAATCAATTATACTCATTCACATATACATTAACCTGTACTCATGTATATCATATAACATATACCATATATACTATCATAAAACACGTACACCCAGGCAACTATAATATCATCTTCATTTTTATTAATATTATCTATTTAATAGCCCATGATACACATGTGAGAACTAAAGATATGCGAGTACATAGAGGTTGTGCACTAATGTTGTCACCACAACTCATATAATTGCACCGAAGTGCCACATATAATTGCACCGGAGTGCCGCGTAGGATTACACCGTAGTGCCATATAATAATGTCCATAAGGACCACATATCATTCCTTAAGAATCATATACATATACTAGGGATCAAGTATGTGTCTCACCAGACTTCACACATGTTCCAAAGAATACATATATGTCCCGAAGGACCACATATCATTCCTTAAGAATCATATACATATGCCAAGGATCAAGTATGTGTCTCACCAGACTTCACACATGTTCCAAAGAATACATATATGTCCTGAAGGACCACATAGACCCTCGACTCTTGGCATGCCAACTATACCCCTAGCTCTCATGACACATAACATGGGCATTATCTTTTCTATCCTTTTTCGTATTCATGTAACCGAATCATATATTCATATAAGCTCATGGTTTCATTCACATATACATGTAATCATGTAGTTCATGTCAATTCTCATATGAGTTCATATTCATATAAACATATGATTCACCTTCACGTATCACATATACTTTCTCTTTTATATAGCTCATAACATTTCTCATGTGTTCATATGATAAGTAAATCATTGTCACCTCATCATTTTATCACATAAACATATAATCTTACAATACATACAAAAACACCTCAATACCTATATTCACATATACCTATCATTTCATTATCCTTATTATTATTCTTATCATCACCATTAATCCCTTTTACTTACCATATTCATATCAATAACACATATACTCATGCACACATATAAATCATAACAAATACATACTTCTATGAATTCATGTTTTT